CCCCCCAATTTCTTCTTATTTTCTTTGATTAGTGAAATTTCTATGCACAAAGAGAGAGTGTGTTATGTTAGGGACTGCTCTGTAGGATAGCAAAGGATATTTTCTGTTTGAAAAGGAAAACTATAGGCCGGTTTGTTATCCTTGGTCTTCCAGCTTCTTCAGATGTCAGATTTCTGCAGGGAAGGATTATATTTTGAAGACGGAGCACGTTCCTCTCTTTGAGCGAGCATTTAGTCCAATATTGATTTAAAACTTTACTGATTAGTTACAGAGGATAACCGTTATTTAGAAAATTGAGCCTAATTAAGCTGTATTTCCTTCTCTGAAGAAACGGAAGAGTTCGATCTGCAGCTTCAGGGTTTCCAGCTGTGAGATGGCTTTCTGGAGTCCGGGGCCTGATTCTCGATTACACGAGTACCCCTTTGGGCTGCTCTGACCGGACTGATACCCCAGTATATTTACTGTTGTTTTACTCACCTGAAACTTGTTTTCAGGAAAAGATGATGTAACTTCCCTTTTCCCTTCCTACAAAAACGTAGACTCCGCTGCTCATGCAGTATATTCTTCCGTTTCTGGAAAAAATGGGAACGTATACCTTAGGTACAGCTTCTGTTACAAATGCCCTAACTGGTTTCATTCAATTATAAATAATCTTTAAAAAAACTCATTCAGAAAGCAGAGCGCTTCTAGTGATTTTCATTTATCCTGAGGCAGCCTTAATTAATGCACTTGCCCTTTTGGGAAGCATTTTATATTTTCTAATAAGCAGTACGACTGAAAGTGAGAGTTCTTTTTTCAGCTTGCTGCCTGCCTGGAAGATAAAGAATTAAAGAAAGGAAGTGCATTCAATTACTATGAAGTTTTAAAAAAAAAAAAGAAAAGAAATCCAAAAAAAAGAAAAACCTATTTGACTGAAGAGCGCGTGACTTTGAGAGACTGGCCTCCGGTGATCTCTTCCATTGCAGCCAAGAGAATTGCCTGATTCGCCAGGGCGGCATGTGTGAAAGGTCACCTTTAAGGTATTAGTAATCTCTGCTCAGATTCCTCCAGCACGTGCAGTACCAGTGTTCAATGATGCTGGCTTGCACCCAGCTTGCTTAAACTAATGTGGGCCGGCCACGGTCCACGGCATCGGCAACCACCATCGTTCCTTGCTGGTTTGTCTGCTGGAATTTAATGGTCTTTCATGCTGGTAGGGGCCCTGGCTGCTGCTTGGTGCCAGGATGCCCAGACCAAGTGTGTTCACTCTTCCTATTGTTTTTGAGACTTTCTGTTCTTTTTTTGCATTTTAAAGCTGATCTCATTTTTTTCGTTTATTCAGTCTGCTGTACTGCAACCTCCCAAGCTGTATTTGTGCATCGTTTATGCATTCTACCATGTGGCCATATTCCAAACTCTCTGTGCATCGTTCCTGCAGTTTTTTGGTTTAATGCAAGGTGGAAGTAAAATATGTCCAACTAAAATGCAAGGAGGAGCGCTGGAGACAGTACTGAAATGCCTGCTGGCCGCTGGCACTGCGGAAAGCGTGCGCTCCACCGCTGCCAGGCAGTGAGCCTGAACGTATCCCAGTGCGGCAGGCTTGGGCTTACCTGGAGCTTGGTCGTCTTGCTTCCAGAGTAGCTTGCTTTTTCCTCATATGGGAGCTGGATCTGAAAGGAAAGATGGTCTGTGGGGTGGGTTGTTGGCTTGGAGAGGCAGGAGGTTTAGAGGCAGGTCGCTGCTCAGATGCAGATTTGCTGTCGGCGTTTGGCGGTTCACGGCAGCTTGCCCCAGAGCTTTCGTTCTCCTCCGTCTGTGGAACGGGATATATTGCTCCCCTGCGCCGGAGGAGGGTTTTAAGGGCCAACAGCAATCACCAGCAGTGATTCGTTCATTTCCTAGATCATCCAAGTGTCTAAGATGTGTTTTTGCCCAAATTGGTAAGCTCTGTGATCCTCAGACCCTTCTGTACAGCTGACAGGGAGGAAGATTAGGATGAAGCTGCCTGTTCAGATCTGCTGATTGCCCACCTGGGAGCTCTGTAGAGCTGCAGCGTGACAAAGGACTTGTTCGTGCTTTACTGTGGGATTAGGATAAACGGGATGAGTGTAAACCTAGTGGCAGAAGGTTTAAATAGGGAGATTTTGCTTTAGTTCTGGAAAATGGTGCTGTGTTTGTCTTTCAAGTTAACAAAAGTTTGTATGTCACCAGCAAAACCAAGTGTGTCTCTAGATCTGTTCATTTATTTCCTGAGCAAGCATCTACTAACTCCAGTGGCCAGTGTCAATTGTACAGGTGCAGTGTGATGGACCATGGTGCCCACGTATGGCGGAGTAGGTGGGAGCGTGCTCTTTCTTCCATTTCTTTCCAACGAGTTCATTTTTGCCCTGTAGCGAATGATGGGTTGTCTCTTGTTTACTGTGTATTTTAGCTTTACGTAGAGCATCCCCCTACCCCCCAATTAATAGTCAGGAGCTCGGTTTGCACTGATAAAACACATTTATGCAGCTTTTCGGCACACAAATACGTTGTAGGGCTCTGTGCTGAGGTCCTTCTGCGAGAAGATCTCCCGCTGGTCCTCGAGGTTGGATGAGCGCAGATAAGGATCAGAGGGGGCAGTGCGGTCCTCTGACTTGGTCGGGCTTCCCAAAGTGCTTATTTGTTGCTTGTTCCCCGAATGTGCACGTTGCGGTCTGGGAGGCTGGCAAGGACTCTGGGTATCAGTTGCAGATGTTGAGTCGCGCTCCAGCCACGAGCTGAGTGAGGTTACCAACCCTGGCATTTGCTGCTTTTCTCTATGCCTTGACTCAAAGAGCAGTCAGGCCTCATGGAAATACCTTATTAAAATAGAAAACTTCTGTACTGCTAATATTGCTGCATGTCAGTGCTCCACTTGTCAAGAGCAAGGAGGAGGCAAGATTTTCAAAGAACAAACATTTTACAGTCTGATTTCCCACTT